GCAGGCTACGAAGTTGGCCGACTAAGCTCAGTATGAACTAAAATCTGGTAGAGTGGCGTGAGTCTTTGGCTTATTTTTATAAGGGCGCCAGAGGTAAAGGTTACCTCACCAAAATACATCACGAGTACAGAGTAGCAATGTTTTATTCATAAAAACAATGATCAAAAAGAGTGACACACTACAGGCGTAAAGCTGCTGGTCAATAGATCTTACACAAGAGTGCTACACAGAACACTAACTCATGGGTGCATACAGACACGCTAGATAAACAAAACCTCAACAGAAATTATACAAATCATAACTAGCACTAAATCAGAAACTCACTGAGAGTTAGGCAACCCATCATACACACGCCGGGAGGGCAGGCAACCCAACCGGTCCGCGGACGGTACGTCATCAAAAACTCAAAGAGCGCAAATCCCTGAAGGAACAAAATACTAAACCCGAGCGCAACGAGGAGGGAGAGGGAGCCAGCCGGGCACGCCGCATACAACAACGTGCAAGGGCCTCGCCGACCCCCGCGCCCTCCCCGAGACACCAATGAAGGAGAAAAGCAAAGCGCGAAGTTAAACAGAACTGACGGTACCGCCGCGGAACCAGAAAGATTCTAATTCAGTAAAACGAGGTTAACAGAACCAAACTCACACGAGTGATACGGAGATGGAGAGCGATGGCTTCACTACAGAAGCAAAACGAACCCGGCCCCGGCGGGGCGGGCGGAGATTGACAAACAACGTCATGCTGCTGGCGACTTCACGGGCGGACCGCCGGTGAATCTGAGGGACTAGCCCACCTTCCCGTTGACTAGAGCGCAACACAGCGCAGCAACGCCATACGCGACAAATCCCTAAAAGGGAAACACTCAAAAGTGCGTCAAAAGACGACAAGTCCGAAAGACCCTGTAAGGAACAGCAACATTAGCACTCGGATGTCTCACTAATAAAGTAGGATTTGGAAAATACCTAACGAACTCACCAAGCACAATGTGCGGGTGGTGCACGGATGTTAAAGAAAGTAAACATCACGGGTGCTCGGGTCCCTCCGAGGGAGACCCTCCCTCGCTGCTGTCGCTCTCTGAGTGACCGAGGTCCAGCGTCCGGCCGCCGGCCCCGGCTCGCCTCACTCGCTCTCGCTCGCACCCATTGGCCCGGCCGGTCAGCTGACCCCATCGTCTGCTAGACCGGCCGCACCTGAGCTGGCGCTCAGGCGATCAAGGCGGCAAAAGTAGAAAAGTGACGCGCGTTCGAAATTTAAAAGAGCCACGCATCCGCGACCCCTCCAAACCCGGGCGGAACCGGCCAACTAAGGCAAACCCCAACCCCCTCGAAATTCCGCGCGTCACAATTATGTGTTATAACCCAAACACGATAAAAATATCCTCGGTATTTTGTCTCAGCCCCTCTCAGCATCGATAAATGACGATACTTTTACTCAGATGCCGAGCAGGTCGAAAGATGCGGACGGATTACGGGCGCACATAACCTCACATCCAAGATGGCCGCTGCTCGGTCGCTCAGCTGAACGTACGGGAGTGAGGTGAGGGCTGTTTGTAATCCGTCCGCATCTTTCGACCTGCTCGGCATCTGAGTAAAAGTATCGCCATTTATCGATGCTGAGAGGGGCTGACACAAAATACCGAGGATATTTTTATCGTGTTTGTGTTATAACACATAATATTGAGACGGGCACACGAGCCGTAATTTGA